AGCACGTTCACGCGCCCTGCACGTGCTGTTGTCTAATCGCCCGATGCGTGCAGCGTCACCTGTGACTTGCTCCGACGGTTTAAAAAGATTATAAAAACGTTTTCGCGGTGTGAATCTTGCCAGAACCGAGAACGATTCATTGACAATCTTTGCGCGACAAAGCAAGTCAAACTCTCCAACCGCGCCTCCCCGGGGATGCGTTCTACCGGTGAAGGGGATAACCGGGAAATTCTTACAACATATAACGAGCTCACTAAACATTTCTACCTGTGTAGAAGGATTTTCCCTCCACCTCACAAAAATCTAACCCGGCCCCAAGCACTTACATTAAGGCTTTTGCAAACGCGGATGTACCCTACTTTGAAAATGTTACACATCATGTACCCTGACTTATACCCAAGCAATCTTTGTCCACATTGTGGGCAAATAGCTTCATTAGCACACATGCTCTGGCAGTGCACCAAATTCGCTCAATTATCAAACACCACCTCTGCCAGATGGGAGGCGGCAATCCGCAGCTCGTCCTTGGCAGATCAGCTCTGCGCTGTCCACCAAGCCCGCGAGGCGGCTGAGGAGCTTGGCATCTCAGTCCCCACGTGGGAGCTGCCCGCAACACAGTGATCTGTGTTTTGGAGGAACAAATAAAAGTTTATCCAATCCAATCCAAGCAAGTCTAACACGATGTCTTTGAGCGAGTGCTATGTGAATGTCGATGGTGAACAGCTGCCTTTCTGTGACATTAAAAGTGAGGAGACGGCGCGAATTATATACGTAGGTTACCGGTAAAACACGCATTTGCTGCGGCATTCGTGTCTTCTCGGAGCTGTCGGGAAACTACCACCACGCTTTCGCGTGCATTTTTATATAGTGTTCGGATTTCTATTGCTTGAATGCCAAGTTTGTCACGCGGTTTTCGATTTATTAGGTGGTCAGTGTGAAGACACTAAACTTACGTCGGCTCTCTTCAATCCCTAGCACCATTTCAGTGTGGTGTGTTACGTTTCATAAGAGTTTCACTTTTGCCGAGGTTTTCATCGGATGTTAACAAGTTATTTGCGCAGCGCTAGGCTACAAGTGGTTACGACGTAACTACAAAAGGAGAGACAAGGACCGAAAGAGCGCTGGTCTTTGTCCTTGTCTCTTTTTCTGTGGTTACATCGTAAGCACTTGTAGTCTTGCGCTGTGCAAATATGTGTATTCCCAATCACCAACTTGCTCAAGCATCTGTCTTATCATGTTAACCAGGTCATATCGTATACTAAATGGCACCTTGGATATTTCGCTGCTCCTTTGAAAGTACAACAATGCGCACGAAAAAAAAAGTATTTTATGCCCACTTCGACCATGCATGTTTGTTGTAGCGCATGTTTCATTTCGGATAATGTCCACGCCTGACCACGTAGCGTGTTCACTGATTCAAATGTCGATTTGGTTGTTTTGACAGCTCGCTTGGTCGTCGTCATATCACACTATACCCACTAGGATTGAGCATGTTTTTGTTTACGCGAAGATTTGCCCCTGATAACCACGTTGAATTTCGCGAAACAATCGAAAATTGTATATGTGCCTTGGTTCTTTTGTTAACTCGTTTTCATAGCGGCAGCTGTATATCGCCCGCGGCTCGGGCTCATGCAAGGATATAATATTTGATATACCGAAACCATCATATCATTAGGAGGCGCGTCGTGGTGTGAGACTCCAGATTAATTCCGGCCACCTGTGGTATTTTCTTCAACGTGCACCAAAATCTATTTGAAGTGTGAGGCGCGACGACAACGGACAGATGATGCACACACACCGAGCGTCACTTCTTCTAACATTGAACGTCATACCACCGTACGCTTGAAATATGCAACATCAACACGTCCTGTCTGTCATTCTTGCACCAAAATCTGAGCTCACTGTCGTTGCGTTTCACTCCCGTGAAAATACAGCTGGTGTATGCGGAATTCGAACTCACGACTTCGATCCCAACATCGCAACACCTCATCCTGCTAGCTTATCAGTTGGTGTTGCTTGCAAGACCTGTACGTTTAAACGCCCAGCGCGAGCCCACAGCACAAATCTGATTGAACTGAGTGGTGGCGAAAAGTCTATATAAATACAGCCATCACCTGAATAAAACACTTGCAGGGCTCACATCATAGAGTTTCTTAATATACACTAGAGGGAACTCTGGCGATAGTGTCTATGGGAGCTGCAGCACACGGCACTTCAGCGAGCATGGGAATGATGGGTAGTACAGACATTTGTCTAATATTCGTACTTCTGGCCTGATTTTGGCTCCGTGTGTGTTCGTGTGACTTGGAGTTGTTTTCTTACGAAACAAATATTAGCCAATGTTCAGCGGTTGCGCTTCACCATCTTATTCGTTTAGACTTACCTTTCCGTATAGGGTTGCAAATTTCGAAAGCGTTGAATCTTTCTTTCAAAACAAAAACCGAAACACAGCCATAAACGAAGCCGCAAGTTTGATTCGCCGCCCGCAAGTACGAAGACCATAGGCAGACATGTGTACTACCCATCATTCCCATGGTCGCTGAACGATCGCAGCGCCAGAGTGCCCTCTAGTTAATTTTAGGAAACTCTATGGCTCACAGTACGGTATTTTAGGTGTATTAAGCTAGCAAGCTCCACCGCTTTCGCACTAAACCAATGGTTGTTTCGGAAAGCCAGAGCCCAAATCGTGAAATGTGCAGCGGTCGTCTATTTGCTGTAGTTTCAGTTTACGAACACGCTTTCTTTTAATGTGAGTCCGGTCATCGCGTTTCTTTCAGTTAATAGTTTGTATAGTACCGTGCACGACAAAGTTATTTCAAAGTAACAAGACTGCGGAGTATCGGCCAACTGCCATAAACCACTCTTAACGCCTTTGCTTCTCGCACTGCTCGCATTGGAAACGGTAGAACGTGACAGGCAGTTTTCAGGTCTTCGTCATTTTTAAACTTTTGTAGCAGCTCGCAGTTCAGCAGTAGTGCGTGCCTGCTTACCAGAATGACAAAGGAGCGCTGCCCATAGCGGGCAAAATGCGAGATAAGCGCCCCAAGGAACATGTTTTCCGTGTGCGCAATGGGAAAACCTACAATAAGCGCAGCGCGTCCGAGTGACCAGGGCTGTGCCCTCTTTCCGCTATAGGGCGGTGAACGGCGCTTCGCAAACTTGAGCCTGTCTTGCCTATAGTGGTGACTAGAAAAAAGATTTTTAGACATTAAACATCGCGTTTTAGGCCCTCCCCCCAAAAAAGCTATAGCAGAACAGAGTTTTAGCCCTGCGAAATTGTAAATATTTTTACCAAAATTCAATAAATAAATTTTTACCAAAATTTGCGCAATAAATTTTTACCAAAATTCAAGTTTTCGAAGAAAAACGTGTGCGACCTGTGTACACGGCAGGAAAGCAATAAAATGTAATAGTTCATGAACCGCATGGAGGCGCCAATGGTTTAACATTGCCGTGCAATTGTTCTTTTACGCACACGTCGAGCAGAACACGTTCCGTCCATTTATTGTCCACTGCAGCATGGTGAGTTACGTGGCACAGGAACAAATCGCCAGACCGCTGAAAGGTCACAAGCTCTATTAGCCTCGTATTGTCGGGTCTAATCGCGCAGGGTCAATTTCTCACCTGTCTGTGAAAGTGCCCAAAGTTCGAGCACTTCCAGCTCACGATCACGTCTGCCAAGATTTGCATTGCTATGCACCCTGGCGAAAAAAAAAAAAAAACGGGGGGGGGGGATGGCAGATCGAGCACCGTTTGCTCTTCATTAGAGGGTACTAGAATCGTTTCTAAGAAAGTACACTAAGTTCATCTCACGAGCGTGTGCACCGCTATGAAGGAGGTGACGTACAAGAACGAATGGTCAGGTGTACGTCGCAGTAGTACGTAACACTGCGAGAAATATTCGAGGTAAGATGTGCAACGCGTCATATCTGTTGCTTGAATAGAGGAAAGAAAGTTCATAGTAACATTAAAACATGCAAACGAACTCTGTGTGAGTTTTATTTTTATTTTACATCGAATCGAGCGAGATGCATAAGATACTGGGCCGCCTTCATTTCACTTGCGTTTGTGTTCTCCCCTTGCTCGCTTACTGCATGCTGCAGTGCCGGTCCTGACAACGCTTGGCGTGTTTTCGGTGCGTCGTCCCTTACAGCAGTTACAGCTGTGCGGTGCTGTGTATCGTGGTATAAGAATACATGATTCATGCCGGCCTCTACAAATGTGCTTGTATATATAGGCATCCGTTCCACAGAAACAGGCAGTACACCGCTCGCGTTACAGACATGGCTTGTGACGTTGAAAACGCATGGCGCGTTGATGCGCCTGCGTCGTGCGCCCTTCGTGTTCCTAGTCGCTCCGATACCGAAGAGGGCGGGGAAGAAATTCGGCTTGCGTAGTCTGGACGGGGCGAGTGGCAATGGCTTCAAGCTCACCTCCTCGCACCATGCTTTCGCGGCTATTGTAATGAACCAATTAGAATATTCTTGCGTTACAAAGTTCTTCATTTGGCACGCAAAAACTTCCAGTGTATAACTGAAATTTCCGAGGTGACCTGGTGAAGCGCCCTTTCAGCAATAAATTAAAAACAAAACAAAAGGAACGTGCACGTCTATAATTTTTGTACACTATTTTTACCCTGATGGTACTCCACTGTTCCGCATTCGTTTTACATCTTCCTGCGGTTGTGCAGAAGGACCTCCTGGTCCCTGCCTCCATACACCCATGGGTCTTCAAGAAGATGCTTCAATATCTTGGTAACACTAGGCTGGAAAAGCAGCTTTAAAACTCACCCACCACGTCCTCGGCCGTGGACGCTACTCTCCTCTTCTTGCGCTCTTTTTTTGCCACCTTTATTTCCCTCTCATCGTTCCATTGTACACGCTGGTGCATGCTCCCATTATCCAAAAACGTTAATTAGAGGTTGCAAAAGTGGCGTTTCTTTCTCTCCCTCCAATCCCTTTTATCGAACCACTCGTGTCATGTCCGTGCGGTGGTGTAACATGGCCGGTGCGTCCCATTACACAGCTGCTTGTGGTTGCTTTCCGGAAGTTTGTTGAAATAGAGAAGCAGGCTCCACCCCATGGAGTTCCGAAAGGTCAATTTTGCCCAGTAACATGAACAACGGTTTCAAACTGTATGCGAAAGCAAGAGTTCAGGTTGAATTGTGTTTATATAGGCATTGATTTTGAAAATGAGCATTTATAGGTCCTGGTGTAAATTTAGGCACAAAGCCTAAATATAGGCATGTATAGGCACTATAAAAACAGCACGAAGGCTCTCCTTGACCTCTAATTTACGCTCATATATCAAAGTGGCACGATAGGAACGTAAGGAACAAGCATGGAAACTTGGGGAAGTTTGTCGGACATAGCTGAATGTAGGAACAGCGCAACCTAGTAGTTACCCAGCAACTACATCAAGGTTGCGCTGTTCCTACATTCAGTAAGGAACAAACAAGGCATTTGTCTGAAATCTGGTCTCTAGTGATCAAATGCTAACTTCTCAACTCCTTGACAATCTTTTTCACCTGCACCACTCCGTCGGAGCCATGGGGCGCCGTCCAGTTGAGAAACAATACGCGAAGGGAGGGAAGGATAGGCGAAAGACGCCAACCGATTGTCCGTCACAGCCGTCCAGTCCAGACCACCGACACATGAATGTTGATTGTCAGTGCGAAAAATCCCCGCCATATCCTCAAAGTGAATGATGTTAGAGGAGCTTGCTCGGAGGCGAACGGGGCATTTCTTGCGAGCCGGTGCATAATGTGTACGTCAAAGACAGCGATGTTGGGCATATTCCGGGGCAGGCACTGCACAATGTTGTTCACGTTGATCGGCACGTTAACCACTGGCCGCTGTCCTAATTCAAATGCCTAGCGCTCATAAAAGGCAGACGTGGAGCCATCAGGCGTTCTTCAACGTGATTGAGGGCAGGCAGGTGAGGGGGCTTGGGAGGATATCGGTACCCGTGCGTAACACTCAGAGGATCCTGCTCGTCCTGCCGGCCTGCTTGAGGGTTTCTTTCTCTCTTTCCCTCCTCCCCGCTCGGATGCAGCACGCGTTCACGCGCGCCCAGACCAAACACCCACAATAGTGACACCTCCCTCTTTTCCTCTCTCTTTCACATTCTTTTCTCTCCCCCACCACCCATCCCTCTGTGGCGTTGTTGAGCTGACCTTCTGAGAGAGAGACGCCACACTTCTTTCTTCGGAACTTTTTCGTTCAAAGCGGTGCGCCACCTAATGAGCATTGTTGGAATCACCGGAGAGGCGACCTTGAGCGGCGACCGCGGAAGTGTACACACTGGCAACACTGCTGTACACGTCGGCAGCCATCGTGCGACCAGCCGCGAGCAAAAGGAGCAAGCTCCTAAAAGGAGTGTGCAAGACGAACATTTGTTAAGCGAGTATGTCGTTGGACGTCCCCTTCTGCCACACACCAGTCTTTCCCATCATCATCCACTCATTCACCTCGTTTACATCAATTGTACCCTCACACGTACACTCAACTAAAGCAGTAATTCCTAAGATATAAGGATTGACAACGTCACTTGCATAGCGCAACGATGCTTGGAAAGTTTTGTAATGTAGTTGCACTGGGGCCACATGTACGAATGAATAATGAAACTAGATGACATGACAGGTGGTCACTCCTCTTCTTTCGTTAGTCGTTCGCTAAGTGTAAGTGCATCTCACTAAGTGTAAGTGCATTACAATGCCATGCCCACTAGGCCAATTTAAAGTGTTGCTACACGTAACTTGGAAAGTTGTACGTGTTATGTTTTTTGTCTTAAGGTTACCAATCATAACTGGCATTACAAAAGCAAGCTACCAGACTTAAAACTTGTGCTTCCTGTTAAGCCATTTTGTTATGTTTTTTTTAGAACTGTCACGTCAATTGCTCACAATGTTGTTACATTAGGAACTACCTTTTTTTGATGCTCGTTCTATAAAAATGTTTAAGATAAAGAGATTAGGTACATGCTTCTTTGTGGTGTTTTGTTTTGCAATACGTAATTCAGACTTCTAACTTCTCCTTACGTCATGGTCTCCCAGGTGATTCATTAGAAACAATGACAAGTGGCACTCCCTTCATGGTAAGTATTGTTTCAAATCTTTCTGAGACACATTATTGCTCTTCGAAATTTCTAATCACAAATGCGGTTTTCTAATTTCGGCCTGATTCCAATCAACGCGATATCTTACTGGCTGATTCGCCCTCTGTAAAAAAAAATGCTTTCAAAATGTCTCGTTCTTGCGTATCCTGGCCCAGTGTCCACGGTTTATGCTTTTTGCTTCGAATAACTTTGTCAATGGACATCTGTGATAACGGAAGCAAAAGCCGCATCTGCTACATTCTATCGATGGAGCATGACTTTCGTCAACAATGCACAGATCATGGGAAAGGTCAGCCCAATGCGTGATGCCCCGAATCAGCTACCCTGTCAACATTACACTGTCAAAGTGGCGGGAAACGTTGTGGAAAACCACAAAGCGCTGTCGATGCAGCCACCTTTCTTATATTATTCGTTGAAAACTGGCTGCTACCTTCAAGGCGATATGGAGCTTCATACCTGGCAACGTTTGCAGCCAAGTGCTGGCCATGTAAATTCGACTATCCGTTTTTCGGTGACATTCGTAAGGACACTCCCAGACTGCTTTCATCACCACCTATGCCGACGTCGACATCAAGTCCAGTTAAATGTTCTATGTTGTTTGTCCTGCGTTAGAAAGAAAGCTTGCAATCACAGTCAGGAAACGTCGATGCGGTCACAAATAAAGTAATTTAAAAGGGCACAAATAAAAGTAATTTTCGTCCCACGAAAGGCCAAAGGAGCGGGACTGGTGATGAAGTGGACCTGCATGGCCGGCTGCGTTGCTTCGGCAGACTCCTCTCGATCGGTAGAGGTCACACACGATTTTTCTTTGCAGACATCAGGAGACGGCTCCCACCTACGTACGTGCTTGGTTAGCGATGAAGTGATTAACAGCGCCATAAGTGACTGCAGAGCAGGGACCACCCTTACTGCGGCAATTTGCAGGCTTACGCCAGGTTGCATAATCAAGGGGTTAGTTGCCAGCTTGACTTTGGGTACGTTCTAGGTTGTTGCAATTGCATTCTCTGCTCGATATTCGCCACACATTTGCGGCTTTTCTGCCATATCTGCACCGTCAAGATGGCATAACATATTGACGTATATATATACTATACCAGTATGTAGCATTGTGGTATCAGCGGAAATGATTCTGCTGATCATGGTGCTCGCACGTCACATCATGAAGCAAAAGTGTTCCAATACCGCTTTCAAGAGCGGACGCCGCTAAGTGGATTCGGCGGATGGCCCGCAGTCTCACACTATCTGAGTGGAACGTACCAAGCATACGACGTACCCGACTACATGAACTTAACCCTCCACTACAACTCCGGCATCCACCTACATCGACGTGAAGCTTCGTTTTTTATCGCCTTTGGCTGGGAGTTGTTTTCACGAAAGCTTACACCACGTTAATCGGAATGACTGGCAGTGCGGCATGCGACGTTTGCGACACCGATAAAAATATCGAACACCTTCGGTGTCACTGTCCTGGATATCCCTCAGAGGGACAAGGACTTGCCAACGCATTGCGGCGATTAGATGTTTGGCCACTTTCTATGGAGGTGCTATTACAGCACCATTCACATCCCTCGACAGCTCATAAGGCAGTGAACGCCCTCTTGCCCTCTTGTGCTTCTTCAGGGCGACGGGCTTGTGTGAACGTCTCTGACTTACAGAGGAGTTCCACATACTGCAGTGAATTTATACTGTCTGTCTCTCCCTTTTCATTCTTTTCCTCTTTCTCATCTTTCTCGTCCCCTTCCCTAGTGCCTTAGTGCCTTAGTGCCTTCCTACCTTCCTTCCTTCCTTCCTTCCTTCCTTCCTTCCTTCCTTCCTTCCTTCCTTCCTTCCTTCCTTCCTTCCTTCCTTCCATCCTTCCTTCCTTCCTTCCTTCCTTCCTTCCTTCCTTCCTTCCTTCCTTCCTTCCTTCCTTCCTTCCTTCCTTCCTTCCTTCCTTTCTTTCTTTCTTTCTTTCTTTTTTCTTCATTCCCAGTATGTAAGGGGTCATAATAAAGCACATCCATGCACTTAAGTATGAGGTAACGTCACTGAGCTTCAGCTATCAGCCCTTTCGTTTTTTCGCCAATTTCGGCAGCCGCATTCATTGCGCGGGCTTCCTGTCTTCCACGCGCGTCAGAGCACCGCACGCCGCGTGCTATTTGAAGCTGCGAAGGTTTTATGAGACAGTGCACACGGCCCGTAAGTGCCACAATTCGGGCAACTAACTTCAGCCTTGTCTCCATTACGGCGATACTCCCAGCTTACTCACTAGGCACCTGGGGATCGCGTAAAAGAACCACCCATGCAGGTGGTGGTGGTGGTTGTGAAAATACATATGCCGCTTTCGAGTATGCCAATTAAAAAAAATATAGCTTCCTCCACAGCAATGACCTACAAACCATCCTATTGTATCTAACATCTACTGACTATGGAGTAAGAATATCAAGAATTCTCGCGTTCATAAGACTTCACTTTAAAGAATGTGCATTGTTCAATAACACTATATATACTGATCCCTTCTTCGTGCATAAATACTCATCCTTGCCAACATCAATTTCAAACATTGGAATATATTAAATCTGTTTACAGCCAGCAACAAGCAGAGAAACTCTTTACCTAGTCGGATATTCATCAAAACTGAAGATATATAACGTAGTGTGCGTCCTTTCAAGATACCTATCCATCGAAGGCGAATGGGTGAAGAGGAGTTTGAATTACATGTTTCGCGTTGTGAGTATCACCTCTACTTTTAACAACAACAACAACAAAAAAAAACGCCCCCACCTCCCCGAAAGGAATCACGAGGAAACGCGAAGACATTTTTTAGCGCCGAGAGAGGCTCGCGTTGCCGTCAGGCATTCGCTTTCACTGACTTCTGCCATCGCCTTGAAAGGCGCCCAGCCAGCCAACGGTCGAGAGTGGGGCGCCAGCGTTCTAGACTTGGCATTGGCGTTTCACTGGGACGTCTCGAGCACACATTTCCGGATGTCCTTGGGAGGCGCCAAGCCAGCAAACGGTCGAGAGTGAGGCGTGAACAGACGAGAGAGTGCGGCGCAGTGAGGAGAGGGAGCGAACAGCGAGAGAAGGAGCGTCGAAGCACAACACGTACCACTTTCCTACACTCTCACCACATGCTCCGGTTGCCAGGGGCGAACATAAGCGCGCACAACCACAGCTGTAGTCATGGGAGAGGGAGTGAGAGGGGAGAGATAACACCTGTCAGCGCGCGGACACCGCCACGGACAACGCCGGATGCCTGACATAGCCCTAGTAAGAAATGCATCAGCATATAAAATATTTGTGGCATGCATCGCCTTTCCATTTACAGGTGCTAAATGCAGGGCTCAGTGATTTCATTAGCATCTGCGCTAATGTATTCATAGTTTGCCACTAATACGCGCATCGATCGTAAACCATCTTAGAGGAACATCTTACTTGTTTTAAGGAAGCTTTGTCTCTAATCCTAAACTGCTCAAGTAATATTTGGTGCAGTTAGCAAAGATTCAATTATGAAAGACGAATAAGCGGGCCAGTTGGCGATACTTTATTTTCCAGGATTGCCCTAGAGACTACGCCGAATGAAATGAACGGAACGACAGCCGAAACGTCTCCAAGTTCACAGTTACTTTATTTAGTGCAACAGAAAGTTAAGTTTACCTGTAGGAGTGTTTATGACAGAATGACAGAATGGTAACGTGGAAAACACCACGAAACATTTGTGATCAGAATTTGAATACATGTGGCGAATATTGAGTCGCATACACACGTTAGAGCACATGCTGAAAACAGTGAGCGCGAGAACAGCTCATAATGCTTATTCGTGCATTCCGTTCACGTGTGCCACGGATTGACATGGGCCACTGGCTGCCGCGAAAGCAGCAGTGCTTCGTAAAGTGCAACTCCTTTTAAACTGAATTGAGCAGTGATATATATATATATATATATATATATATATATATATATATATATATTATTTTAACGCAACCGCGTTAAAGAGCTTGTTTCGAAAAAATTGTGGCATTCGCGTTGGCGTCGGTGTCGGCTGGAACGTCGTTAGTTGTGAAAGAAAATTCATCTTGTCCGTAACCGAAAAAACCGAAAACGATGCGAATACATTATTAATGAAAATTTCCTGGTTGGAGTGAGAATCGAACCAAGGCCCTCTGCGTGGTAAGCACGTTTCTACCACATACACAAGAGGTTTGTTGAAACTGCTTAAAAAAACAAAAATGAAAGTGGACCATTCTCCACTAAAGGGAACCACGTGGAGGTGCGAAGCAGCGATCGCTAACACTTACACTGGCGGCGACGTTTACGCTGGCGCACATCAAGCAAAAGCCAAGAAGAACGGCCTTGACTGAATTCCGAACGCGCTGTCCAGCGCCTTACACTGGCGGCGACGTTGACGCTGGCGCACATCAAGCAAAAGCCGACATGGACGGCTTTGACTGAATTTCAAACGCGCGGTCCAGCGCCTTACACTGGCGGCGACGTTGACGCTGGCGCACATCAAGCAAAAGCTGAGATGGACGGCCTTGACTTAATTCCGAACGCGCGGTCCAGCGCCTTACACTGGCGGCGACGTTGACGCTGGCGCACATCAAGCAAAAGCCGACATGAACGGCTTTGACTGAATTTCAAACGCGCGGTCCAGCGCCTTACACTGGCGGCGACGTTGACGCTGGCGCACATCAAGCAAAAGCCGACATGAACGGCTTTGACTGAATTTTAAACGCGCGGTCCAGCGCCTTACACTGGCGGCGACGTTGACGCTGGCGCACATCAAGCAAAAGCCGAAATGGACGGCCTTGACTAAATTCCGAACGCGCGGTCCAGCGCCTTACACTGGCGGCGACGTTGACGCTGGCGCACATCAAGCAAAAGCTTTACTGAATTTCAAACGGCGGTCGCGCCTTAGGCGGGACGTTGAGCTGGCGCCATCAAGCAAAAGAATGACGCTGCTGAACGTCAAACGCGTCCAGCGCCTTACACTGGCGGCGACGTTGACGCTGGCGCAGCATCAAGCAAAGCGACTGAACCTTGACTGAATTCAAACGGCGGTCAGCGCTACACTGGCGCGACGTGACGTGGGCACTCAAGCAAAAGCGAATGCGGCTGACTATTCCACGCGCGGTAGGCACCTGGGGATCGCGTAAAAGAACCACCCATGCAGGTGGTGGTGGTGGTTGTGAAAATACATATGCCGCTTTCGAGTATGCCAATTAAAAAAAATATAGCTTCCTCCACAGCAATGACCTACAAACCATCCTATTGTATCTAACATCTACTGACTATGGAGTAAGAATATCAAGAATTCTCGCGTTCATAAGACTTCACTTTAAAGAATGTGCATTGTTCAATAACACTATATATACTGATCCCTTCTTCGTGCATAAATACTCATCCTTGCCAACATCAATTTCAAACATTGGAATATATTAAATCTGTTTACAGCCAGCAACAAGCAGAGAAACTCTTTACCTAGTCGGATATTCATCAAAACTGAAGATATATAACGTAGTGTGCGTCCTTTCAAGATACCTATCCATCGAAGGCGAATGGGTGAAGAGGAGTTTGAATTACATGTTTCGCGTTGTGAGTATCACCTCTACTTTTAACAACAACAACAACAAAAAAAACGCCCCCACCTCCCCGAAAGGAATCACGAGGAAACGCGAAGACATTTTTTAGCGCCGAGAGAGGCTCGCGTTGCCGTCAGGCATTCGCTTTCACTGACTTCTGCCATCGCCTTGAAAGGCGCCCAGCCAGCCAACGGTCGAGAGTGGGGCGCCAGCGTTCTAGACTTGGCATTGGCGTTTCACTGGGACGTCTCGAGCACACATTTCCGGATGTCCTTGGGAGGCGCCAAGCCAGCAAACGGTCGAGAGTGAGGCGTGAACAGACGAGAGAGTGCGGCGCAGTGAGGAGAGGGAGCGAACAGCGAGAGAAGGAGCGTCGAAGCACAACACGTACCACTTTCCTACACTCTCACCACATGCTCCGGTTGCCAGGGGCGAACATAAGCGCGCACAACCACAGCTGTAGTCATGGGAGAGGGAGTGAGAGGGGAGAGATAACACCTGTCAGCGCGCGGACACCGCCACGGACAACGCCGGATGCCTGACATAGCCCTAGTAAGAAATGCATCAGCATATAAAATATTTGTGGCATGCATCGCCTTTCCATTTACAGGTGCTAAATGCAGGGCTCAGTGATTTCATTAGCATCTGCGCTAATGTATTCATAGTTTGCCACTAATACGCGCATCGATCGTAAACCATCTTAGAGGAACATCTTACTTGTTTTAAGGAAGCTTTGTCTCTAATCCTAAACTGCTCAAGTAATATTTGGTGCAGTTAGCAAAGATTCAATTATGAAAGACGAATAAGCGGGCCAGTTGGCGATACTTTATTTTCCAGGATTGCCCTAGAGACTACGCCGAATGAAATGAACGGAACGACAGCCGAAACGTCTCCAAGTTCACAGTTACTTTATTTAGTGCAACAGAAAGTTAAGTTTACCTGTAGGAGTGTTTATGACAGAATGACAGAATGGTAACGTGGAAAACACCACGAAACATTTGTGATCAGAATTTGAATACATGTGGCGAATATTGAGTCGCATACACACGTTAGAGCACATGCTGAAAACAGTGAGCGCGAGAACAGCTCATAATGCTTATTCGTGCATTCCGTTCACGTGTGCCACGGATTGACATGGGCCACTGGCTGCCGCGAAAGCAGCAGTGCTTCGTAAAGTGCAACTCCTTTTAAACTGAATTGAGCAGTGATATATATATATATATATATATATATATATATATATATATATATTATTTTAACGCAACCGCGTTAAAGAGCTTGTTTCGAAAAAATTGTGGCATTCGCGTTGGCGTCGGTGTCGGCTGGAACGTCGTTAGTTGTGAAAGAAAATTCATCTTGTCCGTAACCGAAAAACCGAAAACGATGCGAATACATTATTAATGAAAATTTCCTGGTTGGAGTGAGAATCGAACCAAGGCCCTCTGCGTGGTAAGCACGTTTCTACCACATACACAAGAGGTTTGTTGAAACTGCTTAAAAAACAAAAATGAAAGTGGACCATTCTCCACTAAAGGGAACCACGTGGAGGTGCGAAGCAGCGATCGCTAACACTTACACTGGCGGCGACGTTTACGCTGGCGCACATCAAGCAAAAGCCAAGAAGAACGGCCTTGACTGAATTCCGAACGCGCTGTCCAGCGCCTTACACTGGCGGCGACGTTGACGCTGGCGCACATCAAGCAAAAGCCGACATGGACGGCTTTGACTGAATTTCAAACGCGCGGTCCAGCGCCTTACACTGGCGGCGACGTTGACGCTGGCGCACATCAAGCAAAAGCTGAGATGGACGGCCTTGACTTAATTCCGAACGCGCGGTCCAGCGCCTTACACTGGCGGCGACGTTGACGCTGGCGCACATCAAGCAAAAGCCGACATGAACGGCTTTGACTGAATTTCAAACGCGCGGTCCAGCGCCTTACACTGGCGGCGACGTTGACGCTGGCGCAGATCAAGCAAAAGCCGAGATGGACGGCCTTGACTTAATTCCGAACGCGCGGTCCAGCGCCTTACACTGGCGGCGACGTTGACGCTGGCGCACATCAAGCAAAAGCCGACATGAACAGCTTTGACTGAATTTCAAACGCGCGGTCCAGCGCCTTACACTGGCGGTGACGTTGACGCTGGCGC